AGGGGCTAATCACTCACGATAACTACAAGGACTCTGTGGGATGATACAGGGAGAAAATGCCTCTTCCAACCAGAAGATTCTATGATTCTACGATTTTCATGTATGGTTGAGTAAATGGAATGCAGAGAAGGCGTCAGTTCTGACAAACCAGCTCTTAGAGAGACAAATTCGGAGTAGAAGACCACGTTTATTAAAGAAAGATTCAAAGAGTTTAAAGACAGAGATCACATAGTGTGACTTCAGATGTAGCCAGGCTAAAATATCTTCTAACACCAAACCAATAAAATCTGTAACTCCCATACCTTAACTTGCATCACAGTTTGAAAAAAGATACAGTAAAATAATCTGATAATACCAGGATTAGCTAAGACTAGCTTGTAGTCTGTGCTATTTTTCTGAATAATCCAGTGAATGCATTTTAGGAAGGAATTCCAGGCACAGACTTACTGAAGGATGGGGCAGCAGGGAGCTGATTTTAACCACCTTCTTTCACCTCCTGAAACAGTATGGTATGAATAATTGAACACTAGAAAGCTAATGCTTCTGCTTGTTTGAAGCCCCTTGTGCTTCTACAGACAAGAAACAAGGCATTTCTTATACTACCTAACTTACAATACCAGAAGAGATGGAGAATAATCCATTTGCATCAGCTCCAATCGACTCCGTATTTTCTCTTTCCCAACAAAAGGGAAATAAACCTTACTAGTCACTTGCTAAGTGATCTTTGCAACAGCCTCAATTCATAAAAGGCTTACCCTTTGCATGCTCGAAGCTATACATATGAAAAAAATAAGCTCATAAAAACTCAACTTAATTCTTCCTAATTATCAGTACTACAGAGGAACCTATGAAAACATTCACATTTCCTAGGGCTAGATTTAAAGCCCACAGAGATGAGTTATATTTTTCAGTCAATGAAGGATGAAATCAATCAATATAAATGCAAAACATAGATATTACACATATTTTACTAAATACTACTTTTTAAAGAATATATAGGCACAATTTCAAAGATGCCTGTGTAACACTATTCTTTGTAAGATGTTATATTGTAAAATAGCACTTGTATTAAAGATGCTAATCAGCTAAAGTATACGTACACTTTGCATCAATTCCATACGGTACCAATAAACTACAAAGCTGACCATTACAATAAACAGTTTCGTCTTTGATGATGCTACGATCTTCTACTTTCCAAGAATAAACCAGTTCATTATAAAAAAAATAAATAGTATGGACCCTATAAAAGCAAATACACAATATTTATATAAGAGACAACTAACGTACCAGACTCCTGCATTAGCAGCGCTGAGTTGAATAATGCCAGTTTATGCGTAGGGTTGAGTTCTAGCGCTCGGTTGAAATTTTTCAGGGCTTCTGTTGGATCTTTCAGTTCAATGTAAACAATTGCCAAGTTGTACCACAGGTCTGCATTGGTTCTGTCTAGTTCTAGAGCTCTAAGATAAGCTTCCTTAGCTTTCAGAGGTTTGTTCATTTTTAGAAGTAATTCTCCCCTGTTGAAGAATCAGATTTAACCTTCAACTTTTATTCATACTAATACGAAAATAATTGACAAGCTTTTTAAAAGTTTGCCTTCCTATACACAGGAGATGTGAGATAACTGCATTTTCTTCGTTTGTTTGTTTGTTTGAAACACAAAAGAATACAGGACCTGTTTTACATACCATTCCCAAAGCTTTCAGCTGTCAAAAGTCTGTATATACAACACACACACAGAGGACAAAAACGAAAATGAAGAGATCAAGGGGTCCTGATGTTGGCTCTGTAATTACACTGCAACAGCTATAGTTTAGGCATCTTCACATCTCCCTAAGTCCCAGTGGGAATCGCAACTAACAAAAGACTGAACAGAAGCCTCAAAACTCACAGCCACATTACTCTTATCTATTTAGCTGACATTTATGTGCTTTTTAGTTAAGTCTTCCGTTTTCTGGACCACCTTTAACAAAGAAGGATAAAGAAAGCTTCATGATTCAGACTAATCAAAGGCATTTTAGTTCAAAACTAAACTAGGAGATTAGAAATTTGAGTTTGAGGCTCATAAAGAAATCTAATGGAAGCGTCTTGCTATCCAATGTTTGAATACACAGCCTATGTGGAAACACGTCATTTGAAGCAGGAATTTAAAAGAACAGAGCTTGTAATGAATAATTGATTATTGCCCCAAATCTTCATAAATGTTCATTCAAGAATATGTATCTCTAAAATTAGAAAAGATACCTGCTGATGTAAGCCTGCTTGAAATCTGGCCTCATACTAATTGCTTGTCGATACAGTTGATCTGCTTCTTCGAGGCGAGATTCATTTGCTCGAATTAAGTTTGCAAGATTGATATAAACATTCAGATGGTTAGGAGCAACTCTTGCTGCATACTTTTTACCTGGAATAATCTGTCAAAAAGAATATATGTACCAAACACAGATGAGTAAAAATACGACAGACAATCAGTATAGATCTCCTCTTCACTCTGCCACATTTGTTTTAGGGTGATGAGTAAAAATACGACAGACAATCAGTATACTCTTCACTCTGCCACATTTGTTTTAGGGCATCAGTGGACATTAGTGTGCTGGCTCTTAACGATTACAAATAGCAACTCTTCCTTCCCAGAAAATCATACCAAAATATAAACAGAATATTTTTTCTTCTTTAATTCTATGAAGACGCAGATGACTTTTATATTAAAGACCTCAATTAATTAAGCTCTGCTACTACCTAATTGGTCTCATGCAGATAGCCACTCGAAACCAACCAGACCTTGCAAAACTTGCCTCGTTCAGACAAAGAATATTTCTGTCACATAAATGGACATTCTATCAGACATTTTCTTTCCCTTTTTTAACCCTCCAGCCTAAGATAAGCGTAAATAAGATTTTAACAGCCACCGATAAAGCAGATGAAAAGTACTCATGAAAGACGATAACGCTATTATGACATTAGAACAGTTGTACTGTTTATACTTTATCCGTCTAGAATCTTCGTACTGTTTCACAAAAAAATCCAACTTTTTAATGCCATACTTCTACTCAAGGAACTGCTGATTTTTGTTGTCAGTCTCACTTTACCCAGAGCTTCTGTTACCTTCATACATTCTCCACAATATGTCGCTCTTTTTCTCCTAAACAGCTAGAATAAGTAATACTTGCTAGGTTTAAATATAACTTAACAAACGGTAAAGGTAACAAAGCACGTATTTTTAAAAGCATGTTCAGGCAAAGATTTTTTTGTTGCTGCTGCAGCTACCTTCTCACACCTCCAATGCTGCCTTTAAGCCTTCTCTTGAGGGCTCATAAACTCAAGCCATCATCAGTGTATCAGCTGTAAGTGAAAATAAACCCACTGTGACTAGAAACTATAAGTGTACATTTTTAACTGCTGCTTTGTTTAATATCCTTAATTTCAGGAAAAAAAACCAACAACCCACAGTAGTATAAAAAGTAACGTAGAATAGTTTTAACAAAGAAGTTCCAAGTTAGCAATTTTTTTTAACAGCTATGACTATATACAACCTACTCTTTTAATAGATAGGTTTTTAAAAAAAAAACTAAACACTTTAAAGTATGCAGCAGCATAGAGCTTCAGGAAAAGTACGAAAAGGTATCATGAATATAGGTCTGAGAGAATTCCCTCCTGTGGTGGTAGATAAAGGTACTAATTACCTGTGGCATCAATGATTTAGCAATCATATACGATTCTTCGGCTTCTTTAGTTTTGTTTAGGTTTTTGTAAGTTCTTCCTACATTCATGTGGGCACCAATATCATCTTAACAGAAAAAACAAAAAGAAATTTCATATATTTCCACGCACTGAGTATCACGAAAATAAGTACCTATGCCCTCAGAGTAGCATGAAATACAGGTACTGCATAAAGACCAACAAAACAAAAAAAAAGAGCAATTCGGTATTATTTCTCATCTTAACTATGAAGCTAATAATTTAATCATGAACCAAAGACGGATTATAAAGTTTCTTGGGAAATGGTAAAAATTTGAGGTCATACTTGCACATATCTATCTTTAATCTCTTACTATAGTAGAGGCACATAAATTGAAGGTTATTTATTAGACTTCTAAACGGAAAAAGGAAAGGTTGTCTGGTACTATCCAGAACTTCTTTTGCAACAATATGTAAAACAGAGTAAATGTGCACTTTGATACTATCTAGATTTTTAAATTTTTTATACACCTTAGATTTAAATAAAAAAAATAAATAATAAATGTTTCATAAGAAATTACAGTTTAAGTTAATTCAGAAAGAATGTAATCCAAATAATAGTTGTAAATGGAAATTCTTTGCATCTTTTTATAGACACTTTTCTGGAAGATTTTCTTTTGAGTTTGTTTCCAAAAACTACAGATCAAGTGACCTATTGTATGACACTGTTTGATGCTCAGCTGGGGAAAAACAGATCATTGAGAAGATTTTTTTAAGTAAGCTAAGCACACTGAAATACTAAAGAGTGCGGAAATGCCACTCAGGCATCTAGTCACAGCTTTTACCTGGTTGCACTTGTGTGGCCTGTATGAAGAACTGCAGAGCTCTTTCAAAATTCTTTTCATTTTCTAACGCGTGCCCCACATTATTCCATAATTTTGCATTGTTCTTATTTACCTGAAAGAGAGAAAAGATACCAATGCATAAGGTATTAAGCTGAAGTTACATAACAATTGGTTTTCCTTTAACTATGTCTTAAAGATGTAAAAATGCACAGCAAATGGCAGATTTCATCAAGCTGCTATATGTAAAGAGTAACAAAACACTGCATACAGAATGATTACATTGAACTTGTTCCTCAACATCCATTTATTTTAGTTATTTGCCCCTTGAAATACCAAACATTTTAAAATTCATTGCAATTGTTATGGGATGTTGTACAAACTGTCCTATCATGCCATATGCACATTGAAGAAATTATTCTATGCATTAAACATTTTGCAGATTCTTGTACTGAAACATATCATGCTTTCATCCAGGTAAGAGAATACATTCAACTGCTTTAACACAAGAAAAAAATCATCTATTCCTTGCACATGAATTCCCATATGTACATCACAATGCTTTTAAAGCATTCTCAAAAGCAATTAATTAGATGTTAATACTGTCAATGTAGAAATAAGAGTGGCAAAACAAGCGTAATTTCTCTCAGTTTTTATCATGCCCTACTGCAGCCTTTTGAGAAGAACAGCAACACAAACTTTCCATTATCCTTTTCAAACAGAATACAGTACCTTTAAAGCTGACATAAACAACGTGTACTCTGACTCCCAGTCCCAATTTCTGTGCAGTGTTTTTAAGGCATGAGTGAACAGTACTGCAGCCAAACAAACCCAAGAAATTTTTCTTAGCACACTACAAAATAAAACAAACAAAGAATTGTTATAAGCACACTAGAATAAGTATCTCATGCTAGGAGGTAAATAAACTAAGGACCATATTTGTGAACGGTATATTCCAATTTATTTGCCTCGTCACCAAATGGTTCACTCCAAAATTTGAAAGGAAATAATGTCCAATTTCAAATTAATTTTGTTGTATACCCAATTATTTTATCACTATGTAATTCACTTAGTAAGAACAAACGCAATGCACATAATATCATGTAAATAAAAAATTGTACTTCTGTTAGAGCTTATCTGTAATTATAGGCAACGAACATGATCATGATGTCAAACAGTGAAGTTCTTCAAAATACTGTACAAAATGTGAAAGTATGAAAAAAGCAACTAAAATACGACCCATCCTTTTGTTTCCTATCAGACAATTACATACAAATTCTTTATTGCACAAATCACCAATCTTTCCCACGCTGTAATTCACATAACAGAGAGGCCTGCTGTAGAGACCACCCAATCTTCCATAAGCAAATAAAATCCTAGTGCTACTGTAATAGCTAAATAAGAGAAAGGTTTAGTGTTTTTGTAGCAATTTTATTTTTAAAGTTGCAAACTGGGGCAGAAGTCACTCTCTGCGACTAAGCTTGTCAGGAACAATCTTCTAGATTTTGTGCAGTTTATTCTTCTGGAGTTTAAACATGACTGAATTTAATTACAATAGATACAAAACATATGCTTTAATATGCTGGTCATTTGGTCTTTGAATTCTAATTAAATATTAAAAAAATATATTAAACACCTAGTAGCCTTCCTATAATTATGAATATCATTTTGTTTTTAAAAATCTTATTCTTGAGCAGACAAAGGCTGTTTACCATTGCCAACTATTTCTTATACTTGACTTATGCAACAGCTGCTTCACACTGCCATGTACTTCACAAGGGTTTGCTAAAAAATGAAAAACTTTTTTTTGCCCTTCATATTTAAGATAAACAAAATGCTCTGCAGACTTAAGACTACACTGTTTGGTTTACACAATTCTAAAACATTAGCAAAGCGACCAGTGAGAACTGGCATATACAGCAATCTATATCCCCACCAGCCTTATAAGTCTTTTCTTTCCACGTATTTCTAAAGCAAGGAGCCTGCTCTCTCTCATAAGACTTTTTAGAGTGCTAATTCCCAATATTTTTGCAGTAAACAAAACTGCTGCCTAATTTTTCTCCCCAGCAATCCTATCCTGGTTCCTGGCTTTGTTTCACATCACTTCTACTTTTACTGCCTCGTAGTAGGATTTGTGATAATAATTCCTCCTCACTCCCACAAGGCATCACTAATTCCTCATTATCCAGTGCTGTCAGCTTTGGCAGCACCAGTCAGCATAAGTTATACTGCAAGACCTCACCTCTAATGATAGCAGACAACACAGACTGGGAATTGCTGCCTTTCTGTTTGTCTGAACTAGCATTAGGACGCCACTGGGGTCACAAGGACGAAGCATCCAGGTCAGAGGGAGGTATGCGCAGATCAATGTAGAAGATAACAGAAAAAACAAACGTGCGTGCAAAACATGCTTTTAGAGCAGAATTTCCTAAGGAGATACTGTTACCCAAAAAATTCTTTAGTTTAACAAATACTGAATGGATCTGCTGTCCATTCCTAGCATGGGACATCTGAAAATTTTATCAGTAACAAAGATATTTTACTACGTTGCAGACTGATATACATGTATTATATAAACCTCGGTCAGTAATCATCTTTCAATAAAGTACTGATCAATTCTGGCCAAAAAAATTTTTTGCACAGAGATGAGTTATACTATTAGGCTTATAGGTAAATTCCATTCTGTAGCAATGTGTAATGTAAGTTACAATGAATTCTAAAAATGTTTGGTGCAGTCTGAAGCATTTTAATATATATATATATTTATGCATATATATAATTAAAAATGTATAAAATACATATGTGTGTGTATATACGTATATATATTTTAAATCAATGTTACAATACCCTCAGAACAATCCACTGGTCTCCTAAGTTAGAGCTTCCTTGTTGTAGTTTGTTTACATGACTGCCAAAGAGTTTCTTGCCATTTCTCTGTTCATTAAGAACTTGAAACAGAATAGGAGCTATAATGTAATCAATTCACACTGACAAAAGCTCTACTGGGAAAGCTTGCAGTTATAAATGTAGTTATCTTTTAGGAAATGAAGAGAGATGAGTGAAATCGGTCATAGGTAACACCACCTTACCTTTTATTTGATAATTTCTTCCATCCATGTGCTACCAAAATGCAGAATCCCATGCTTGGAACATACAACACTCGTTCTGCTACTACGAATCCAACAGGAAAAAAGAGGTTTGATGCAGGAATGAATGGTAGCACTATTAAGCAGAGTGCCTAGAAAAGACATGAAAATAAATTAGTAATCAAGATTAGGCAGTGACAAACTGTACCCAAGAAACAAATTACAAGCAGTTACAAACAAAAAAAGTCTCAGAAAAATAGACATACGTAGTAGATCTTTAGGCTTTTGATTTTTTCTTTTAAACCTTAAGATCTCTTTTACATTGAGACCACTCTGAACATGGCAAGTTTTAACCTGCAAATGACAGTATTCCTTACCTAAGGGCCTACACGTGTATTTGCCTTTCTACACTACAGAAAAGAGCAGCTGTATGACAAAACACTAAGATCAAAGGATAAAATTCAGAACAATGTTTTAATAAGAGTTCCACATACAAAAACATGACAGTCCGAGAACCTTGGACATTATCTTTTATAACAATTACAAATTTATACCAGCTTATATGATGCATAAAGCAGCTATTTTTACAATACAATAAAGTCCAGTTTTAGTCTCTGTAAAACTTGTGAAGAAATAACATAAAAATCAGAATCAACCACTGAATAAACATCAGTGTTTAGACAGTGCACCCTGAAATATCTAAGATGACAATGAACTTATGAACTGCGTAATTGCAGCTCATAGGTTGATGACAGATATCTTAACAAAAGGTGTGTGAATTAAAAGAGAGAAATTCTGCTGCTGCAGATTAAGTGGACACGACCACTTGCTTTAAGTCCTGGGCGACTGACTGTTAAACAGCAGCTTTACAATCTCTGGTACCAGAAAAGACTTAAATAATTATTTAAAAATATCTGGCCCCCAAGTTACAAAACACAAAACCCTTACAGAAATGGAATGTTTCTTTGAATAAATAAAGAGGAATTTTCTAGAAATTTTCAATACAACTGGCTGTCACCTTCTATCTAGATTTAAGCATAACTGCCTTTTCTATGCTAAAATAGTTAACAAATCCAGTCTGAAAGTTAATCTAGGATTTCACATATAAAAATGCAACACTGATTTAAAACTTCAAGTAAGGTTCCAGCTCATATTTCAAGAGGCCAAGAATACGCACATGGATCGTTAACACGACTCAGCTGATCCACAGCAACTCAATAAGCTACACAAAAATAAATACATAATTGAGCCTTGAACAAATTACAAGCACAACACAGAGTATGTTAATTATCCGGAGATAAAATTTAAATTAATGCCATGTCACATTCCTCTCCCTTTCTCCTTTACGTTTTTATAGTACATGCTCCTTATACAGCACCTAACAATCTGTAAAAGTAAAAGCTTCAACACAGAACTCTATTATAAATTTCTGTAATCCACCTTGAAATGCAGGATTCTTCACGCTAACCCCAAGCCAGTCCTCTGCATCAGTTTTTAATTTAGTTATAGCAAATATCTTCACACTTTTGGGAGTGGATTACGGGAAGTGAGGGTACCATTCTGTATTTCATTCTGTTCTGAGCAGCCAAAAGCATTTGTAAGTACAAAAGCACGTTCAAAATCTACTTTAGCAAACAATGTGCTATTTTCCAAGTGTTTTCACTGCAATGTGAATAAATTGTATTTAGCTTTTAAATGTATGCAAGGCTTGTACATAGGCTTAAACAAATTAACTTATTTTACGAAATCTGCTGGTATACCGATTTGAAGAAGTCACCTCTTAAGATTTTTTAAAATTATTGTTTTAATGCTCAAAAAATGCCAGTTTCTCTGGTTGGTTTGTTGTTCGTTTTTTTTTTTTTTAATACAGTGAGGACATAAGTCCCACAGCCTCATGAGGTCAAAATACATATAATGAAAGCCAATTCTTTCCGCACTTCTACAGCTATTAGCAAGTTCTTGGTCTCCACTGAGTGCTTATGATCCAGGCATCTATAAAAAGGTCTTTGGGTGTTCTGTTCTGTGCAGTTCCTCTGACGACAAACACTACACAATGTTTTGCTGAACTTCTCTTTTAGTCCTTTTGCCTCTCCTTAGCACACTGTCGTTCAAATATAATTTCTTGGGCAATAGACTCAAAGCCCTACTACAGATAAAAATGCATTCTCTTCTGCTTATTTATTCTTTCTTTTCATCATAGTCTTTCAGCAGTTGCAGAGGCTTCATTCAAAAATATCCTGGTCAAGACAACTGGGAAAAAAAAAAAAAAAGACAGAAATCATTGAAGTGTGCAGGAAGAAAAAAGCATATCACAAAACTCTAAAACACAATCATAAGCTATGAAGAGTATCTGAATTGCTAAGTAACCAGTAAGAAGCTTATAAGGAATCATTTCAAAGCCTGAGTCAGGTGTAAGCATAGTGAGTAGAGAAATAAACATTGTTAAATTTAGAAGTACTGATGTCTTGGCACAATACTTAAAAATCTTCTCCAAGAAGCCCAAGGATACCTGTCTGCTCCTGACATTTGAACAGTAACAAGTCACCAAAGTTCGCAGCTGAGTAGGACAGAGTGTTATCTTATCAGAAGGAAGGTAAAGCACCCTTGTTTGGGACACTTAGCCAATATCAAAATATAATAAAAAGCTTTTATTAAATTTTGCCAGCCAACAACGGAATGTCTATACCCAAGAAATTCCGTTAACAAACGAGGGCCATGATCACAGCTTGATTCTGACACCTACTGAAAGGCCACCTAAGTAATTCTAGATCAGTACTATTATTAGTACTCAACATTTTCAATATTTATAGTGTAACCTATTTATAAAGGTCACTTTGTCCAATAGTCAAGTTATCTGACTATTCACATGGATAAAGTAAACAGGAAATATAAGAGGACATGTCTTTTACTAATGTAAGAATAATTGGTTACTTCAAGCAGCATAATGAAATCAATCTGCCAAAATGTGTGTTCCAATTTATAATATATAATCCCATTTTTTGTTAGGTTAATATTGTCAGTTGGTTAAAAAAAAAAAAAAAAGGCAATTTATCTGTTTTGTCCTCTCCTAGCTCTGTTATTTTGAAAAGACAATTTTAGAACCTATAGCAAAAATTAAAACAAGGCAAAATGAAACACAATGTACCCACTTACCGGAGTTATTTTTCCTGGAGATAACTGGTATCCAACAGACGAAAACTGACTGAAAAAGAGTCCTTCAACTTTTGCATCCCCAATAATGAGTTCATCCTGCAAGACTCTCCTTGCGAAAACTGTGGAACGTCCACTGGCACTTGAGGAAGTGGGAGAAGGAATCCCTTCTTCTGTCTTGTCCCTCAAATAGTACAGCACCCAAATCCATATGCACATCAGCAAGTACAGAAAGACATCTTCTTTTGCATTTTGGATCTCTCCCTTTTGCGTTTTCTTTGCAAAGTCCTAATAAACATCTTTATTTCTGCAGCAGGTCTGAAGTTCTACTTTTTCTGATCTCAAACAAAAGCAACTTGAGAGTTTTTCCCTTAGATCAGGCTTCAGCACACCTCAGGGTCTCATCGAGCTAGTGACAGAGTCAAAACATGCTAGAGATTTGTAATGGCAGAAGCTCTTTATAAAGCCCTTTATTACTCCTTTAGAGCGACACTCATTAGAGTTTGAAATATCAAAAGTGCACTTAATCATGGTACCAACTGTGATGAGGCCACCATTATACTAATACCATGTGGCATCCATATGGATAGCACTTAGAATTCATACCTGCCAGAATAGTAGTTTGTTTTGACCAGCATAAATCCAAGCTTTTATTGGTAGAACTGAGAACCAAGCATGGAAAAAAGTTTTTTAAAACTAGCAATTCAACATAGTTACCTGGAACTTTCTTTTTTGTTCTCTCTCCCTTAGCAGACTATCCGGCCTACATCAGGACATTAACAGCTTACTGGAAGGCAGAAATAGGCTGTGGCCTACAGTGTTATTACATGTTATAGTACAGACCAATTAATTTTTAATATAAAATATTGCATTCTCATTTTCTAAGAAATTAGCTTCCAGGCATTTAGACATTGTATATGAAAAAAAAAAAATCAGAATCGTACTGAAGGTTACATACACAAGATAGGTATATATTAAAGGAAAAAAGTTTCAGTAAACAAGAATTATACTGTGTTAAGTGACACTGAGGCTCGTGGGCTGGACTGAATTATTTCAGAAGACCCTTCCGATAAAAAAACACTTGGAAAAATAAAAATAAATATAAAAAAATACACCCTCAAACAAATGCTAACTGACTTACAACAAAGTATGCAGACAATTCCATTAACCCTCTCCTCTTCCAAACTTGACTGAGTAGGGAGTAAACAGAAATGCTAAGGAAATAAACAGCCTTAAAGTTCAAGAGCTGTCCTATGAAAAAAGTTAACCACTTCCCACACACATTTCCACTGCTGTCAGCGCACTGGAGAACAATTGTTTAAAGCTTATGTAAGAAGGAAGATTGAACTACTTCTTTACATTTTTAAAGTGCTGTAAAACTGTAGCCTTTTTTAATGAAGATGTCACCTGGCATATTTGTTTTATCAATAAGATATATAAGTTTGTTTTCTTCATACATAGTTTCCAAATTCAGGACAAGAGGCTTCATCAACAGTACTACAGATCATTTTCACAGATCTTCTACTGAAACAAATTGTCTCGCTCCAGTGACAAGAGAATACAAATTGTATTAGTCAGAACTATAATGTTAGGTCTCTTTGAAGTGAATCATAGTTTGTCAGCTGCTTAGCAAAGAAATCCTTAGTCTTAAATCGTGCATAAACATTCCTACCCATGTGAAACTTTTGGTAGTTGGAGTTACATATTAAAAAAGTACACCATTTCTGAAGCAGACTAAGATCTAAGCACGTGGGTTTGTTGTACATGACCACTTTAATAAAAAACCACTGCATCAGGTAATCATTAATTTTGTGAAAATTTGCAATGGAAGCAATCAAAAAGATGACAGTGTTGGGATAAGAAAAATACTAGCTTATTTGCTTCTTTCCATTTCCTCCAAAGTATTCTCTCCTGTTAATTCATTTCAGTTTTAAGGTCATATAATACTGAAAACCAGGAACTGATCTTACAGGTTGACAAAATCAGTTTTTTCCTTAGAATAGGCAAAAGACTACAGAAGAGTGCCTTTGTTAAAAGAACAACAAAAGAGGAAAATTTGTGTTCCTAAATGCCAAAATATGCCCTTTTCTTTTGTACCTATGAGAAAAAAAATCAAGTCACCTGCTAAATACACAGCATGACTATCGACACTTGACCAAGGTAGATGGTTTGCAGGATGGAAACGCATTCCAATCTTTAAGTCACATTTCAGTTCTACTGAAAATGCCCATTTCCTTGTACAGTTGTCAATACCTGAGCAAGGCTGCAATACAGTTTGCAAATACATAACAAGGGGCATATTTATTCTCATCTCTCGTCTATTCTTCTCCATCTCATCCCTGACAGAGTCACATACTTTACTGCCATTTAACAGTTTTGTTGCTACAACAATTCTCTTTTCTTAGGTGTTCATTCTAACCCAAAAGGAGGTGCATGCAGTATCTCAGGGTCACAGCAGATTAGGCATGCAAACACACAACCTGAACCACTTACACTCTTAAAAAAAAGGACAAAAACAATGTGTCACTCATACCATCAATACAGTCTTGGAGGAATCCCCAGGATATCGGAGACTGAAGACGATCAAAGATCCCAGAAAGCAAAAGAAGGTAAGGGTGGCAACATTTCTAACATCTAACAAAGACTCCACAAGAGGAATAGTTCCCATTGTCCAATCACAGCATAATTCTGAAGGGTTGAGAAGCAGCCAAGCATTTACAGGGAGGAGGTAGTTGAAAGTCAGCTGTCTTGCTGGGGATGGACTAACAGCAGCTGGGTTATCAAACCTGAAGCAAAAGGAAGGACAAAAAGGAGCTTTTAATTAAAAAAAGATATGGTCTTGATCCGCTTTGTGCTCATAAATGAGCAAACTTTAGATTCATAGCTAGAACTACCAACTACAGACATGTATAATATCCTAATGCTTCTGCATTTGTCAGGTGTGTAACTTGGGAACCATGCATGATGACTCATCTTAGTGCAGGATGGAGCCTCTTTCAGGTTTAAGAAACTGGTTTGGGATGTAATCAACATAAGTTCGAAGAAACAGAATGATTTACACCTAAAGTTGGGTTCAACAGTCCTTGCTTATGTTTGTAATAGTTTGCCTCATTTTTCAGGGAAAACATTAGACTTGTATTTCTACATTGCTCACACACTTTCAAGATAAATTACAGTGTTTCTGTTCTAACATTATTTACATACACTTATCTTCAAGCACAGCAGCATCTGAAGTCAACCATGCTTTCTGCATAGCACATATAGAAAAATAAAAAAAAATGTTTTTATATAGAAGAGAAAAAACTTATTAAGAAGTTTAGAGTACTTAGTCAAGGTTCAAACACATAGTCAAAAAAAATACTTTAGAATAAAACATTTAATTTCTGAATTACTACGATGAACTACCACAAGTAGTATAAACCTAAGTTTTTAAAAATTAATTCCTGCTCAGATACCTCAATATTTTGGATGTTCTTGTCAACAGGTACTGAAATACACCATTTATCAATTTCACAAAAAATGTAATATTGTACAGTCATTGCTTACTTAAAATAAGCTAATAAACACTTGATGCATTTTGGCCATTTCATTCAGACCTCATTAAGCCACATCTTCTTTATCAGCGTCCATAAACAAGAGACACTTTACTATTACCTTGTAAACACTGGAAGTTGAGACTGGATAACCTGGACTCTGACAACTACAAGCAGCAGCGTACTGAACATTAGGACTATGAGCTTCAACAGTGTTTGGAGCATAGAGAAAGGAATACTGCCCTTTCCTCGAAGAATCTGTACAGCTGTGTCCAACAAAACTGGCAAGGTGTACTGCAAAGGAAAAAAGTGTTTATAATCAGACAGTGTACTCACTAATTCCTTAGATAAATATGAACTACTTTATCTTTTTTTTTTCCCCTCTTCGTTTTCTCTAAATGCCTGCTCCCAATAGTTACTCAACTCAGCTTCTTGGAGCTTTCATGACAACTCCCAAATAGAAGTTCGCTATTCTAACAGAAATAACTCTATTCAACTATTTTTGCTAACCCTATGACAGCTGAACTTGTATGTTTGTAGCCCTGCATTTTGTACTGATAGATTAAAAAGTTTAAGCCATCCTCAGAGACTTCAATAAATCAAGTATGACCATGAAATAAATATTGAAGAAGAGAAATCACTGTTTTTAGAATTATCAGTCCCTCTGAAAACTTGCCCTATAAATAAAATTCCTTAGGACCAGTAGAAATACTGTTCACTTCCTGATTAACCTAGAATTTCTATTTTATGCCTCTACTGCAGTAACCCATCTCTCCCCGCCTCATGAACATTGTGATCTTGTACAGTTCCCCATTACATACCCTGATTTTTTTTCCCTGTGTACCTCTTTTTCTATGTCTTCATGTCTTGTGCTAGGGATGATTTACTGCTTCACATACACTGGTTGGCTGAGCTACAGATATTGATAAGTTTTTTAGAACTGGTCAAGCTCTTAGCTCATGCTGCACCTCTGCCCTCAGAAAAAGCCTCAGTTTGGATTTTATCTTTTCTACTCAGTTTACTTACACAAACTTGTTTAACTTTCATGAAAATGAGGA